CCTCCCCAAGTGCACAAATGTTGTGCACCGGGCCTCTAGTTGGTGTATAAAAATACAACCAATTTCTGAATATTTGTTTTGTATACTGCTACTTTACTGAATTTATTTATCAGTTCTTACAGTTTTTTTGGTGCAATCTTTAGGGTCCTCTATGTATTGTATCATATCATTTGCAAATAATGACAGTTTTACTTCTTTCCAATTTGGATATCTTTTATTTCTTTTTTTTGGGGGGGGGGGTGTCTGGTTTCTATGGCTAGAACTTCTAATACTATCCTATATAATAAAGAGCTAATATGCTAATTAGACCAAACAGCAGAACGACCTTCCAGATGACCTTTTGACAACCATCTGGACAACCTTCTGGAAGAAGCTGGGGCTGCGAGGGCTGAGCCCCTTGCACGAATTTCGTGCATTGGGCCTCTAGTGTTGAATAAAGGTGGATTTCCTTGTCTTGTTCCTGATCTTTCAGCTTTTCCCCATTGGGTATGATGCTAGTTGTGGGAACATAAGCTGACTCTTGACTTAACCTATATCTAATAATAGGCCCTTTCCCTCCTGTCTCACTCACCATCATGCCTCCACCCAGATTAATTATAATCCTGAATCCTGTGTTCATTAATCTTTTGCTTTTTTTTATTAAGGTAAAAGTTGCATAACATAAAACTAAGCATTTAAAGTGCACATTTCGGTGACATTTTAGTACACAGAGAATGTTGTAACTATCACCTCTATTTAGTTCCAAAATATTTTCATCACTCCCCCAAAACCCCATACCCACTAACAATCATTCTTTATTTCCCCTTTGCCGCTGATGTTTTCTGTCTCTATGGATTTACCTTCAATGGCCATTCTGTATAAATGAAAACATATAGTATGGGGCTTTTATGTCTGTTTTATTTCACTTAACACATTGCTTTTGAAGTTCACATGTTGTAACATGTGTCAGTACTTTATTCCTGTTTATGGCTGAATAGCATTCCATTGTATGATTATTTTGCTTACCCAGTTGTCTAGTCATGGATACATGACTGGTTTCTGTACTTTGGCTGTTGTGAATAGTGCTGCTATGAACATTCCCGTATAAGGTTTTGTTTGAACACATGCTTTTATTTCTCTCGGACATATAACTAGGAATGGAATTACTGGGTCATATGATAATTCTAAATTTAACTTATTGAAGGACTGCCAAGCTGTTTTCCATAATGGCATCAACATTTAATATTCCCAAGGGGGAGTTTTAACTCTTGTGTCTGATTCTGGAATCTTCTTCCTCTACTCTAGCTTGGATGTTCCTGTTGGGCAGAAACTCCCATTTCATTACCTCTGCAGGGCTCCTTACGGCTCTGAGCCCCAGCTCCTGGCCTGCCTGGCTTTCCAGCCCGCCTCCTCCCTGCCCAGTTACCCCCCACCCCACCCAGCCTTCCTGTCTTTCTGCTGCTTTTTAAAATCCTGTCATTCCTTCGGGTCCAGCTCAGGGTCTGCTTTTTCCGTGAACCCATTCCGCATTTCTTTATTCTTTTTCAGAACAGCTGCTGCATTGGGGGTGCCTATTTGGACTTTTTACTGAAGAAAGGTGACATGTTGCTGAAATGACCTAACATTTTTTAAGATGTACTGTCTGGATCGATTTTATATTTCTTTCATAAACAAGTAATTTATGCTCCAGGATAACATATGGGGGGGGGGAAAGTTTTGCTTAAATTAATGGGGGCAAAGAAGTAAATCTTCTTGAAAATATTTCAGTGGTGTGATGCCACGTCAGTTAGGGGAGCTTCCCACCAAAGATGAGCAAGGTCTGCACTGGAACGGTGTGGAAGAGGTGGGTGCACACTCCGCTGTGCATCCAGTGTCGGGTCCCAGAGCTGCCCTTCTCCTGGCTGCGGCATCTCCATCAGGTGTGGCGGAGCAGGGGCCGGTGCTTCCCGCCCAGGGCTGCAGCCCCCAGGCAGTGCCTGGAATTGGTTGCCCTCAGAGACCCTCGTGAGTTGCTCAGCGTGGCGTGCACACACTGCCTACTGGAAGCAAGGTCTTCCTGCTGGTATCTTACACCCAGAGGTTCCTCGGGGTAAATCTGACTGAACGTGAGATGTGCTTTCAGAGCCACACTACCTCCGAGGCCAGGTGGTGAAGATTCAGAGGTGAAGGTTGCCGCATGGAATGGAGTGCGATCACCTGCAGCCTTTGACACTTTGGACTGGACTTAGTCCTCGCTGCGGCTGGGGTGGCATCGGGACAATTCATGCGTAAGGGGGAACAGGACAGTGTGTGCGTAAGGGAGGCTTTCGTTTGCGTGCATGATGACATGTTAGGGCTCTGAAGTCCTTGTGGGTTCAACTCTAAGTAAGATCTTTGCCAAGATCTGCCAATTCTTGCCGAAGGGGCCAGATTGAAGCTGTGATTTTAACTCTTGGTTGAAGTGCTAATTCTTCTATCCCACTGGTAAAAATGTACTACAAAATGGACATATTTTGGCTAGTTTAGTGTTGGCAAGGCCTTGCATTTTACCTTTTTACAACAGCATGCCAACGACTAAGTATCTTCCCTATAGCATCATATCGACAACAAACAGAGAAGCTGCAAGGAGGCAACAGGGAATGAATGGTTCAGTAATTTATGGTCATCTTACTGGAGGATATGGTTCAAGTGCTGAAAAATGAAGTCTGTGTGCATGTAGAGATATAAGCACAAGAAGAAAACAACATATTGCATTTTGCCTTATTGTGCTCCACAGTATGTTGTGTGTGTTTTTACAAATTGAAAGCAAGACCCTCAACCAGCAAAAAGATTACAACACACTTTATTGCGATACTCGCTTTATTGTGGTGGTGGGCGGCCTGGAACCCATCCTACAGTATCTCCGAGAAATGCTTGTATACTGTCATCTACTTTTGTTCAGGAACAAATGAATCTGTATACAGGAGGTACTTACAAATATTAGGTAATATTTGTCAGGCTCTTATTGTGTGTAGCACTAGGCTCATTTCTCTCATACCTAAATGATGGCATTTAGTTCTCACAACACTGTGAGGTAGGTACTTGTTTAATTGCTGAGGAATCAGCAGCCTGGGAAGGTTAGGAAGCCTGCCCAGGGTGCATAGTGGGTTAGAAGCAAAACTGGGACCATACCGGAAGCCTGCCCTCCCAGCCACCAGGGCCTCCCCACCCATGATGCTATTCATTTTTAAAAAATATATTTTATTGAATTTTTACAGAGAGGAAGGTAGAGGGTTAGAGAGTTAGAAACATCAATGAGAGAGAAACATTGATCAGCTGCCTCCTGCACACTCCCTACTGGGGATGTGCCTGCAACCAAGGTACATGCCCTTGACCGGAATCGAACCTGGGACCCTTGAGTCCGCAGGCCAATGCTCTATCCTCTGAGCCAAACCAGTTAGGGCAGATTCAGAGGGCAGTTGGGCGACTTTGTTCGCGGACTTCTCGCTAGCTCTCGGGAACTTCACGGGTACTTCATCCTTAAACTTCACCTTGCCCTTACAGCACATTTAGAACAGAATGGCAGCAGCTCTGACTGCTAGGGTGACCTCGGTCTTCAGTTCACATTAAACATTAGCTCACATTGCCTCAAGGCCTGGAACCAATGTACCCAGAAGAACTTTACAAAGGGACAGCGATGTTGAAACAGTTTAAGTGCAAACAGGAGGATTCTAGGCGCTATCGTCTAAAGTCCCTATTTGACTCGTCGTTTTTCCATCCCATCTCTGGCTCGTTCCTCTCTGAACTGTCAGCAGCCGCCTGTGCCTGAGCATTCCAGCCTCTCGTTGTTAAATGCCTCTGATTCAGTCCATGTATGTAAAGTCTCTCACTTCATCTCTGAAGAGGTCACTTCAATGTGGTTTTAATCGCCTGGAGGCATAGTGCTGCTACTGCTGAGCAATTGGCAAAACTCAAGATTTGGAGCCCCAGACAAGGATTTTAAGTCTCATGTTAGAAGCACAGAGGGGATTTGGTCACCAGAATTGTTAGTCAGGATTATTACATCCTACCTTTTGCTCCCCACAGTCCAACTCTGATGCATCAGGTTTTGGTTGATTATTTTGTATTGCTTTCTAGTGGTTTCTTCAGCCATTCCCATTCCTGAGACCTCGGTTCCCTATTGTTGCTGGGGCCGGAGGGTGCAGCAGATCTGAGAGTGGGTGAGAACAAAGGGAGAAGTGCCATCATTTAGTGCATGAAGTGGTTAAAGATACATTCTGTTTATTGCTTTTCTTGGTCGAAGCAAAAAGCAATGCAGAGTTAGGAAAGCAGGATGTTTACTAAGTGTACAGGGCTGAAGATGTAGGTGTCTAACTGAACATCTGGAAGCTTTGGGACACGGGGCTCTGACAGGTTCCCCGTAACGAATCTGTCTCTCAAGAGTCCTTCCCCCAGAGCCCAGATACTTTTTAAACATTTGCTTCTTCGTGTGATTGCCAGCGCCTCAGAGAAGTTGACGGTTTGGGTGACTTCTATCAGCAGAACAATGTGGGCTCCACACGAGTCCGTTGTGTAACACCCAGCGGCCTCGGAGTCCAGGTGCACGCTCTCGCTCTGAGGAGGCGGGAGAAGGGGAGAGCCCATCCAGGCAGGCTGTGGGGGAGGAGGGGACACCCAGCAGCGGAGGCCACCCTGTGTTGCAATCGCAGCCTAAACCAGATCCCTGGAAAACGAGTTTCTTGCTGCCTGTTTGTGTCCCTGAGTAGCCACGGCCCCCGCCATCCAAGGTGGGATGTTGACCTTGGGGCAGCATGGAGTCTGGCTGCAGAGCCCGCAGAGCGTCCCTTCCACGGGGTCTCCGCAGCCTTCTTTCCCACCACTGACAGGTGCCCAGGCCGGGAAGTCAGAGCTGAAGACGGAAACCCCTCCAGGTGAGGTGATCCCTCCCAGGAAATGGACTCCTCCCGTTTTCTCACATGACGTGCTGGCACTTGCACTTTTCCATATATAGGGTCACTCAGGAGCCAGCTCTGCCAGTCCAGGTAGCGACACTGCCACCTTCAGTCCCTCCCTTCACAGCATCCTCGTCTTGCTCTCGATGCTCACCAGCTGTTAGGCGGGAGTGACCCCTGCGCTTCTGCCAACCACAGGCCTGTTGGGTTTAAAGAAAAGAGAAAAACTCAGACAAAGTCACCACATTAAAATAGTTGCCTTGAGGAAGCTGAACGGAGACCTGTGGAAAGATGAACGGACCGGTGGATGGCTTGTATGACAGCTCTCTCAGTGAAGAAGGGGCCTTCATGTTCACCTCGGAATCTGTAGGAGAGGGACACCCCGGTGAGTAGGCTGTACGGGGCCGACGTGACCTGGACCGAGGGAGTCACTTTTGCTAGAGGTGTTAGTGACTCTCCAGGGTCTCTGGAGGAACACTGTGAAGTATTTTTTTTTTTTTTTACTCTATTTGTAGTTTTGTAAAACAGATCATCACATGCCAATGAAGCATTGCAAGTGAATGAAGCTGAGGGTTCCTGCCGCCACCACCACGGGCATCAGCCCTCAGCGTGGGGGGCTGCGGCAGAGACCACGCAGCTGGTTGTCTAAAGATAGTCAGGGACATAAAATTATCATCAGATACAAACATTTTATATATATTAGTAAATCTTTAACTTATTATCAACGAGCAGCTTAAGTCAACAGAAAATGTTCCCTCAAACAAGACCGAGGGTCACCAAGTTTTTCGTGTAAAGCACATGTAGCTTAGGAATAAGCGGCAGTGCATCCTCTGTTGGGATGGAGCTCCAGGTTCTGGAAGTCTCCGGTGTGTTATAGAAGAAAGTGCAGATGACTTCTCGAAGAGGAAGAAAATTCAAGTGTTCTTTTGGTACCTGAAAAGTAGGTGGGCTGTGAGTGGGGGAACTGAGAGAGGCTTCCTTGGTGACAGTGGAGACCAGGATCAGAGCCTCAGTGTTTAGAGGAATGGTTCTCAAACTCTGGGGTAAAATGCAGAGTTCTGGGCCTCACCCCCAAACTCTCTGATTTAGTAGGTCTCGGGAAGGCTCAAGAATTTGCATTTTTGGGAGTAGTTGAAAACTGGCAATTGTTGTCAGTTTTGGCTTAAAAAAACTCTTAAAAAAAGAATTTGCTTTAAAATAAAACTCTTAAAAAAAGAATTTGCTTTAAAATATATATATATATATATATATATATATATATATATATATATATATTATTGATTTCAGAGATGGAGGGAGAGGAAGAGAGAGGTAGAAACGTCAATGATTAGAGAGAATCAATGATTACTGACATCGAGCCGTGACCTCCTGGTTTATAGGTTGTCGCTCAACCACTGAGCCAAGCCCACCGGGCAGAATTTGCATTTTTAATAAGTTCCCAGGAGATGCTGCTGCCTTTAGTGTGGGAATCTTACTTTGAGAACCATTGTTCCAGGAAAACCCTGGGGCAAGACACACTGATTTATGTATTTAAGCACTTCTTCAAAATTCATTGGACCAGTTGAAGTTTTTGGTAACTCATCACCATGTCTACTTTTTTTTTCTTGTTCTTGTTCTTTCTCAAAGAGATTTAACTTCTGCACCTTGTAACTCAGCTTTAAATATCTCAATACACTACTCCTTCCATATGCTTTAGCCAGTGGTTATCAACTTGGGGCGATTTTGTCCCCTTCCCCCCAAGGACACTTCAAAATGTCTGAAAACATTTGGGATTGTCACAACCAAGGGGGTTTGTAATGGCCATTTAATGAATAGAGGTCCAACATGTTCCTATACATCCTGCATACACAAGTCCATCTCCCCACAACAAAAAATTTTCCAGCCCTAAATGTCCACAGTAGCGCTGTTGAGAAACCTCGTGACTTAATTCAATGTAAATAATCTTTTTTATTATGCATAATTTTACAAAGTTTCTAGGTCTACCGTACTCATAATCTCTGCTTCATTGCTATATCTGGCAAAGTCTGGACAGCTCCCTGGCGTTAGAAAGCCAAATATAGGTTAGAATTTGCTCCGCCCGGAGGAAGTGGGTGCTTTGGCATGCAGTGGCCAGGGGTCCCATGGCACACACAGCAAAGTGCTCGGTGGACAGAGAAGGAAAATTCCAGCCAATCAAGTGGTTGTTTTGTCTACTGAATAGCAGACCTTCAGTTTGTCTGATTCTCCTTTCACTTGCCACTAAAGATTAATTGTCCACATAAGTCAGTCAGTTTCCACTAAGGTTTGGTGACTTTTTGCTTGTTATTCCAGTGCTAAATCCCTCTCCACCAGAAAGATAAAATTAATGCTTCTTTTTCAACTTCCAACAAAACCAACTATTAGCTATCTTATGGCTACTAAGTGATAACAATAAAAATTTCCAAAGCCTAAAGAAACAGTTCTGAAGGGCCTCCTTAGATGTTATCTTAGTTTGTCAAGCTATCTTTTTTAAAAATATATTTTTATTGATTTCAGGGAGGAAGGAAGAGGGAGAGAGAGATAGAAACATCAATGCTGAGAGAGAGTCATTGATCACCTGCCTCCTGCATGCCCCCAACTGGGGATCGAGCCTGCAACCCAGGCATGTGCCTTGACCAGGATTGAACTGTGACCTCCTCTTTCATAGGTCAACGTTCAACCACTGAGCCACACCGGCCGACTGTCAAGCTATCTTGATACCCTTGCTCAACTCCAGCTTTATCCCTAATACCCCTTATCCCATTTCTCTGTGTGCATTGGGAACATGTGACCCATGTCCTTTAAGTAAGCAGAGTCATCATGATCGGCTCCCAAGAGTCCTGATGGGTCAGCCGAACGTGGATGTTTGAGCAGCAGGACGCCTTCCTTGGGAGGGTGTGCAGAGGCTACGACTTGGACAAACTTAGATTTACAACCGAATCTGCCACTTGCAGGAGGATAGAAAAACTGAAACATACGGTTATTTTTCTTTTTAAAAGTTTTAAAATTACAGTTGACATTCAATATTATATTAGTTTCGAGTGTACAGCATACGGGTTAGACATTTATATAACTTACTAAGTGATCACCCCAGTAATCTAGTATCCATCTGACCATACATAGTTGTTACAATATTATTGACTATATTCCCTATGCTGTACTTTCCATCCTCATCTGTAACTACCAATTTGTACTTCTTAACACCTACCCCTTTTTCACCCAGCACCCTACCCCCCTCTCATCTGGAAGCCATCAGTTTGTTCTCTGTGTGTTTATTTCTGTTTTGTTTTTTGAGATTCCACATATTAGTACAATTATATGTTATTTGCCTTTCTCTGTCTGACTTATATCACTTAGCATAATACCCGCTAGGTTCAAACATGTGTTTAATAGCACTTTCTGCAAGGAAAAATTGGGGAATTTACCTTTAATAACAAATTGACATTTTTAATTACAGAACGTATAATGTGCTTTTGAGAGTAGAATTGCTTGATTCTGGATCCAAGTTCTTAATTTAAAAACTTAAAAAAAGAGAGAGAAACCCAAGGAAACTTTTGGAGGTGATAGATATGTTAATTACCTTGATATGGTAATGGTAACATGCATGTGTACATATGTTCAAACTCATAAAATTGTACACATTAATTATACACAACATTTTTATAGACCAATCATATCTCAATAAAAGTGGAAAAACCTTATTAATTTATTAAGAGCAGACTCTACGGGTATTTTGGACATTAAATGATATTAATATGTGTAAATAGATAAATAGATGTCACCTTTATTTCAGAATTTGTGAGCATTGACAGTTCACGGGACCCCAAAGCAAGAGTAGATTTCTCCACAGCGCCATCTAGTGGTCTACGAGCTCACCCATGCAGAGTCTTGAAGGCAAACACAGAGTGAGGTCAAAGGTCGGCTGGTGCTGAACTGGTCAGTCCACCTTGACTGCGGAGGTCGGCCCAGCTGTCAGAACATCTGGCCTTTAGGAGGCCGAGTGGCCGTGGGAAGGGTCCGAGAGCTGCCTGTGGGACTGTTCTGAAAATCAGCACTGGTGCTCAGAGGTCCTCTCAGCCCATGGCTGGGGTGGGGCTGGGCTGGCGTGTTCTACACCACACGCTGCATCCTGTGGAACCTGCAGCACGTGCATCGGGTTGTCCCTTCTGACTTCACACCTTGGCACCTAATCTCACTGATGTTAGTAGCTGTTTTAACTTCTATGTCCAGGACTTTCCTGGGTGTTAGAATGAAAGGGAATATGTTGAGGAATGAGGGACTTTTAGTTAGAAGTGTGTGTGTGTGTGTGTGTGTGTGTGTGTGTGTGTGTGTGAATTGCTGTAGACTCTTAGAACTGGTTTTGGAATATATTTCTTTTTTTAGGAATTCTATAATTTTATACATCATACAAAATTAGGCAGAAATGGGAAGAAATAACTTCTTACATTTTAAAAAAAGTGTCCTTTTAGGCAGAGTTGCTATGTAAACTGACAGAATAGCTAATTCTTTTAGCATTTCATTTGTTGTACCTAATTTCCATGATTTCTTCACGTGTTCATTCTTTTCCAGATAAGATCTGTGACCAGATCAGCGACGCGGTGCTGGATGCCCACCTCCAGCAGGACCCCAATGCCAAGGTGGCCTGCGGTAAGAAGCGCCTGGGCCCTTCACAGGAGCCCTACGGGCAGCCTGAGTCCTTTGCCTGAGGCGAAGCCCTCACCACAGCAGAGTCAGGAGGGCCCCGAGTGATTAGGGCGAGTCCACTCACTTCACTGAGGGACAGTGCGTGCGGCTGAATGAGGGCCTTGGCCACCGTCATCGGGTAGGCGTGCCCACCATGGAGACCACAGCCTGCTGTCCTCCTGTTGGTGCTCTGGCCTGTCTGCTGCACTGACCGTCTGTCCCTCTCCAGTGCCACCCTGGCCCCTGGATTGAGGACTACGTGTCCCTCTGAGGGTAGACTTCACCCCGACATCTTTGTAAACAGCTCAGATTCTTTGTTCAGGATCCCACTCCCTGAAGCCCGCAGTGGAGGTTAGCAGCAGGGGCGGGAGAGCGTCGCACAGGCTGAGCGCATCCTTTAGGCCAACTACGTGCAGTCGTGGTCTCCTTTTAATCCGCACAGCAGTCTCCTTCTTCGCCTCACCTAACAGTGGAGGAGACAGACAGACAGGCTAAGTAGTTCAAGGTCACACGAGTAGTAAGTGTGATACGAAAACTTGGTACAAAAACTCAGGTGTAACCAGTTCTTTCCAAAGTGTAGTTCTCGGGGCATTGAAGGTGGTCAGCAACCGTGCTGGAATTCACTCCTTTTATTAGCGTTGCTATTGCTATTTCCCGTCTGGTAAGGTTCACTGTGAGTCTCTTTATCAGCACGGGGAGAGGTCTAGCCATTGGGCGTCCCTGTGCTGGCGCTGGCCACTCCCTTTTGTCCTTCCCTTCCAGAGACGGTGTGCAAGACGGGCATGGTGCTGCTGTGCGGGGAGATCACCTCCATGGCCATGGTGGACTACCAGCGGGTGGTGCGAGACACCATCAAGCACATTGGCTACGACGACTCTGCCAAGGGTAAGGCAGGGCCCGGTCTCCACGGGAGGCCCCCCAGGCTGTCACATCAGTGGCTTCTGGACGGGCACAGGCCACCCGGGGAGAGACAGTCCTAGGGGCGCCTGTCGGGGACCAAGGGTCAAAGCCTGGCAGCAGTAGGCAGCCCAGTGATGGCCCACGGAACCGCCCAGTCCATCCATCGTACCTCTGGCCTTGTTTAGTGTCCTGCCCTCTTGGAGCTTTTGGAAGAGAAAGAACTCTGAGGAAAAGGAGCTGCCCTCTGCCAGGTCCTGTCCTCAGCTGGCACTGGCGCTGGTCTCTGTGTCCTCTTACTTAACTGCTTGAGGACCCTGCTGCGCTTCTATGCAGATGAGGACATCCGGGCTTCAAGCTGAATGGTTTCTATGAGGTGACACAGTCAGTGCGTGGCTGCCCCTTTTGGGCCTCCCGTGCTTTCTGCTAAACTGTGCTGCTGCCCATTATGGACAAGAAGAGGACTTAACCCAGAACTGGTTCTGGGAGCGGGCGAAGGAGGCAGGCAGTGTGGGAGCCTAAGCCCAGGGAGGGGCACAGGCCCTGGCAGGAGTGGAGCAGGAGCAGTGACCAGGGGCGGGCGAGAGCCGGGAGCACTGAGGCCTGCAGCGGGAAGGCCAGGAAGCGCCCCCTGCAGGGCATCAAAGGGCAAGGTGAGGGCCCGATGCTGAGGGCCTGTGCACAGCGCCGGCCCACTTACTGGCTGTCAGGGTGACATGGGCATCTGCGTGGGTCAGGGCAGGCTGGGTGCCCT